ATATATCTAGTGGATGTAGATTTAATTGTTCTCCTGGTTTAAAAACTACCAGCTCACTCTTCTTTTTCATGCTATAGCTATGTAAGCAACGAGAGAAATGCAACGTTTCAAGGAGGTTGCAGCAAATATTCCATGTTTCATCGCATTTGATAATATGGTGTATTTGCACAAAAACTGGAATGTCATTTACAATGTCCACCACGCACACATCATCTATGGCGTACGAGAAGCCATAAGCAGTCATGCTACTGACTGTTTCTACTTTATGAACTGAAGCGAACAATACGAATAGATCTGTTGGCAATGAGCCAGGCGCGACTAATCTTAAACCTGTATACGTCAATGAATCACATAAAATATGTGATGAAGACTGTTCCCAACATTTAAGCCCTTGAATTCTTTTTGTTACTGTCAATCCTAGATTTTTGAAGTTGTAGGAAGACCGAGCCACTTTCTTTATCCTTTTGTGATATGCCTCAAATCTCATGCACCAAAGATGCCTTAATGGACCATAATTGATAAGCATGGTTGGATAGTGTAGCAAAAAATGGAACTTCGGACGAATGCGGTCACTTGCAATATTTATCATGCTTTCATAAAAGTCAGTTACTAGGACATCAAGATAAGGGATCCAGTCTTTGAGAATAGATGGAGCAAAAACAATATCGCAAATATTTGCCAATGTAATGTATAGCTCCCAAGCATCAGATAACCTGGAAACTTCTATATAATCGCTAATTATCAGGGGCAAAAGTCTGAAATAACACCAGGTCTCACTTGCATTCATTGTGGTAATACAAGAAAAAGAATTTTTCGAGTCACTACGGCCAAATTTGAAAGTTTTCAAGGCGGTGTGGAACTGTGTTTTTGATAAAACATTACTTTGGAATAAATTCTCTAATATTAAATTCAAAGCTATCGGAAGCACACCTTCGAGCAGGTCATGCATAGCATCTGGGGGAAGTCCTGTTGACACATGATACGAACTCAGTGAATTAAGAGGTGAGGCCCCTCTGACACCATATGCCGCCACAAGTCTTACATCTTTTTCCACTGCCGCAACATGATTGTCATGCATTTGCTGTGACCTTAATACGAAAAGACCTTCGTTGCATTTCTTGCAGAGATCAGAATATACACACATACAGAAGCGACAGATTCTCCCACTACTAAAGCATCTGCGAAATCCTCCTATGTCATGACTTCCCAAATTATCACCACTAATTGTCGCAAGCCCACCGTAGAAATGCAAATTTTGACCATCAGTGGTTTTCACAGATATACCTTCATGTTCAAGAATCCAAACATCTTGGCAAAATTTTTCTAGAACTGCCGAGTGCCCATATGTCTTCACAACAGATGAGTAAACTACAGCTAAAATGTGCATATTGCGCAATGAAGAAAGATATTTCACTTGTACATTGCCAAGCGTGTAGTAAAAGCAGGTGAGTTTGTGAGTTCCTCTAGAAGAGCCTAGTGGATTGCAAACTTCCACTTCATCCACGTATAAATGAATACGAAGCATGTTTTTGTTACCATTAAAAAAACTACTCTGGAGAAAATATTTTCCATCAGTAAAATCGTGTAATATGTCATCACCAAATTGCAGTCTGTTCTTTTCAATGCTGGCAATAACGTCATCATGTGATATATAACGAACTAAAGTCTCTAATATCGGGACGTAATAATATTTATCGCCTTCAACTCCAACACTAACCTTGATTGGTTCTACAAAGCCATATGAATAGCAGACTTGCTTATATTTTTCTTCTTTTTTCAAAGAATCCCATAAATTCTCAATGTCAAGTAAAACCTCAGGTTCTGGAGTATTTACAAAAAATTCAACTACATCATCCATGATATTTTTGATGACTGAAACTGGCATAAAATATTTCTCCCTGCATTTTAAATATAGTAAACCAAATTCATTGAGTGTTTCACCAACTGCAACATCTTCAGATTCTTTGACATTATTTCCTGATGCAACTAAATGTTCTTCTGAGGAATTGAGTTCGACAGTACTTGTGCCACTTTTGTGGTAACGCATGGCATGCATGCGGTAGCTATGGTAAGATCTTAAGACTGATCTGCACCCATCAATTTTGCAATGGAGGGCACCTACAGCTTTAGAAGTATGATTTCTCCTCAAATGGGCCAACAATGACAAGATAAATCGAAAATTCATACGGCAGTTTTCGGAGGGACATGGAAATATTAAAATATTTGCCATGGTATTTAATGAATGCTAAATGAAATTGGTAACTGGCTAAGAAAAGAATACAAATCAACATGTGCAGTCAAACTTTTATACCTACTAATGTTCATATTTCATCATTAACAATATACCGAAGATAGCTATTCACATGAAACATGCGCAGATACAATGATGAAAATATCATGAAGCGGTGAGGAATTCATGCCAGTGTTAATTGCTTGACTTCATTATAAAAATATTTAAATATAAACATAATTACTACTAATATACATTAACACAATACAATACCGTACGCTTTACAGAACGAGTGACATTCTCTCGTTTCAGAGAAACCTATTTGAAGGATAAATGAATATCCCTTCTTTGAGAGACGTCTGGCGGATTTTGTCCCTCAATATCGGTAAAATGAGGTTGTGCACTGAACTAAGAAGTAACGCAATCTAAAACTACCACTATAGGAATCCACGAAATTCACCAATGCGTTTCAGAGAATAAGCAAAAAACTTTGATGACGTCACTGTCACACATTTGGATTCCATCGACGCACAAACTTGGTGTGTGCTTCTCATGTTGATTTTCATTGCAGACGAAATGGTGTGTTGACCATATTACATATATCAAAGATAATGAAAATTACATTTTTAGCAACACAATATATGCCGCACAGCAATATTACATCAATTAAAAATACAACAATAATTTAATCTAATGCTGCATTCACAAGTTCCTTGATCAGTTTAAGAATATTTTATTACAATGCCGCACAAGTGAGTTTCCTAATTTAAACAAACACAATTCCGTATTCACAAGTTCCGAGGTCTATACAAGAATAATTCAATACAATGCCGTAATTTATTCTAATGCTGCATTCATAATTTCCCTAATTAATACAAGAATAATTTAATCCAATGCCGTAATTTATCGCATTCACGGGCTCCATAATTTATACAATAGTAACAAATTCAAATGTCGCATTCGTAGTTCATACGAGAATGAATTAATCCGATGTCGTAATTTAAACAAGAACAATTTAATTTAATCCAAGGCCGCATTCACAAACTCCCTGATTTATACAAGAATAATTTAATCCAATGTCGTAATTCAAATAGGAATAATTTATTCCAATGCCGTAATTTATACAATAATAATTTAATCTAACACCATATTCACAAATTCCGTTAATTTATATAAAATAATTAAATTTAATGCCATAATTCAAACAATAATTATTTCCGGGAATCGAGATAGTGTGCCGTACACTTTACAGATCAAGCGACATTCTCTCGTTTTAGAGAAACCTGTTCTAACAATGAATGTATACGGTACTCCTCCGAGAAACGACTAGCACCTTTTTCCCTCAATACTGCAATATCAGTGAAAAAACAGCATAATGAGTCTGAACACTAAACTACAAAAAAAGAGCAATCTAAGACTAGCTGAGGCAATCAGCTGGCCAGCGAATACAGAATAATACAGTACCGTACAGACAGTAATACCTGAATACTGGTACCCTACTCTGGTACTTGACTAGTGCAAAATATTTTCTAGCTTTCTATGATACCACTTTCTGTCTTTGGTTGGGAATAGCCTACCGGTATATGTTAACAATATACCAGTATACTGATAGGTATAATATAAAACTAAAAATCGAATGACGAACAGATAAATCTATTAGCCCAAGTCAGCAGGTGGATCTAATTCCAGTACCGCAATCTGGATATGAAGGTTGGGCTCATTTCATTACTCACCGTACTAAAACCACTAACTAGCGTTATGCCACAATGCTAGTTGACATTATATTTTAGCCTAGTTCTGAATATCTCAAATCCATAACGCTAACTTACCCACAAGTGCTTAAGAATTCGTTCCCGTCCAATTTCAAAATAAGAAGATCCGCAGACACGTGCGAGAAGACAAAGCGCAGTTCGACTCGCGCAAGACGCCTGGAAAAAAGAAAAAGAGTGCCGGCCAATCCGCTTCAAGCATTCGCACCCATCATATCACGTGACGAGACATATGTTCTCAGTACCATAATAACGAAATTCGAACCACGTTTGTTTACAAAATAAGATGGCGGAGAGACAGCCGCCATCAAGATAAGTCATAGTCAAGTCTATTTCATCCATCCAGTAAGAAAGTAACAATGTTTAAAGCCGCGGAAACCAATAGGGAATTAAAAAGTAAAAAAGACGCCCAGTTTCTGTATGCCGCCATGTATTAAGTGAGACATCGAAACCATATTCGCTATGGAGTGCGGAATTGCACAAATCGAACTGCGGAATCTATTGTCCTATCTGACTTATAAGTTATATTAATTTCCATAGTGGATGGTGGAATTGAGTAAACGTCCATGCTGCGGCAGCTTAATCAAGACGCTAGGAATCGGAAATTTTCCATGTATTTAGATGGCAATTATTTGTACGGTTTCAGCAGAGCTCGGGAATAAGAGAAAAAATCCATTAGGTGGGAAATTACGTTTGGGTATAATACGCACTTTTCCTCTTAGTTGGGTGGAAAAAATGCTCCATGACGTCACATGCGAGTGTGTATTCCCCTTTTCCCCTTTAAGGTGGGTGATGAAACAGGGTGTATGCATTGTTTCTCATCGAAATAAGGTTGAAAAACTATTATTCAACCCCTGTTGATGGGTGGAAATGATTGGAATCCTCTTTTTTAGTTTACAGTGTATGTCTCATAAATACGTAATAGAGTAACTTCATGTTTTATCAGTACATAAAAGTTTTATTAAAATTTATGAGACACTCATGGTAACTAAAATGGTTACCTGTAGAAATCCGTTTCACTTATTTGATTCGAAAATAACTTCAAGTGGAAGAGAGAAACATAGAAATGCCCTGAACTTCCAGTAATAAATCCTATCCAATTTATCCTAAGGGCTACGGAATACTTTGTCCTTTGTGTTTCCTCGTTTGGATTCCTGGACTGCGTATCGTCAACAAATCCTTTTGCCATTGCAATAATGTCAAATTTCTTTTGTATTTGTCAGTTCTTTTCTATTCGTAAATTAACTATTTGACTTATTCTTTTCAACGTTTGTTTTCGTTTATTCATCCTAAAATCAAAATCTTCCCATAGATACAATGTTCACGACCATAGAGCTAGCAATTTCTAGATTATGTAATACACATATCATATATTTATTTTTCTGAAAATATATACAAAAAAAACATAAGCATGTAAGAAGAAATAAGTTGGTGCCGGAAAAAAAATGGTGCCGGAAAACCAAAGAACATTATTTTTAATTTATGTTTTAAGCCAGCATTTGATTGAACGTCATGTCAATCCCTCTGTCAGTACAATAAGTTGTAGTAGCATAGGCATGAGTAAAATTTTACAATTCCTCGAGAATACCGTACAAACCATGACAAAAAAAACAACGGAAGAATGGAAAAATCGCAAACAATGGCGAAGTTTACATCTTTATGAGAATGCTCAAAACACTGCTTCTTTCGGCAGATATTAAATTATCAAAGGAAAAACGAGATAATATTGGAAACCAATAGAATGAAAGCAGTTACATGCATTACAACTTTCGATCGCATTTACGCGAACGTGATTGAGTCAAAAACATTCTTTCTCGATAACATATTTTTCATTGCGAATTAGATTCGAGCAAATCAATCTCTAAATGATCGGAGATCGTGAATTAGACGTCGTTTATATATCAGTAGGTGGTGGCAATGTAACATGTGGATGAATCACCGCCGTCTTCTGCTTTATTTTCCCCTTGGGTTATATTAAACCAATTCACGCACAGATCAAGTTTAATACGTAAATAGAAAGTAGTAGCAAGAGCGTGGATTGAATCGAAGTTTTGAGTCGTTGTCAGAGTCAGATCGTCGTTGATCAAACTTGATTTGACTATTATAGTATTTGATAACTCAAAGGGAAACAGGTTTCACATTTTTGTACATAAATATATCAATTTCTTAATTTTTGTCTAATATTGGTAAAAGTTAATATCGGTTTAGAATAATATGTCAGGATATTTTATAAATATTGCATCCTATGGTACCGGAATTACACACGCCTATTACTGTAAAAAGCAAGCTCGTTTTTGTTTTACGGACACTTTCTCCCACAATAGGAAGTCTCCCACAGCTTTACTTGTTCCACAAGTGCTCCAAGGGGACGACTATATTGTTATATGATATCCGCTTACCGGACAACTAGGTCCGGTAATTTGAGGGTGCAAAAAGAAATTTATATAACGAAAACGTAATTTCTCATTAGAATTTTAAACAAAACTAATCCGCGTATCTAATATGTCACTTCAGTTTTCTTCGCCAAATAAAACTTGTTATGTTCAATCATCCGTAACTGCTGACTGAATTTAATTTCTACTTAACCCTCAAATGATACAGATCAAGCAATCTGGCTGACGCAATTTTGGTGAAGTTGCACAATTTCTTGAAAACTTATTACAAGATAATTATATTATAATTGGTTGTTCTGCCTAATTACAGGTCTCTATTCGGCAAACTCATTATGTAGTATGATGCGTTAGATGAGAAAATCGTGTAGTTCAACTTTTAACATACACAAACGAAACTCAATGGTATATAACAGTAAAGTCAATACTGCTAGTAGTGTCTTTCCCAATAATTAACTTTTTGCTTTTGCAGCATGAAATTACTCACCAAAAATTATCACGCAATATCGATATAGGTTAGATACATACTCTGCTCCAAACTAGACATTAAACAAAAAACTTACGATATTTCCAGAGCTACTATTTAGGTCGTAAGGACTGGGATCAACCTGTTCTATATATTTCAATTGAGAGTGAGCTGGATGGTATGGGATTTTTACTATGATATCCCGGTGCTCCCGAAGTATGCGAACCAAGATGGCGGACATCGGAACGTAACATGGATAACAGGTTAGGGTTAGGCGATAATTTTTTTTCCAATTTTCCTTATTTTAGTCCTATTATCAGTTCGAAGACTAGCCAAGAGCATTCCGTAGTATTTATACCTAAAATTATGGCCTAACCCTAACCTAGTACACATATTACATTCCGATGTCCGCCATCTTGGTTCGCATACTTCGGGAGCCCCGATATCCCTAACTTTCAATTACTCATGTGTTGTACTTAGTTTGAGATATCGATAAGGCTATCACACTATTAACAAATACCAATTAGACGCCACAGAAAACAAAGAAAAAAACTACCCTAAATAGTTTCATAATAAATTTTGTAAACTTTGACGCAAGTAAATGTCATTTTACCTGTCAAATAGTTCTTTGATATATTTTATTGACGTACTTTGGATTTTTGTTCAGACTATCTCAAATTTCAACAATGAGTATAATCACCAGTTGTCTAGAATGACTTATTATTATTAAAGTACAAAAAACATATTCCTAATCGACTATAATATAGCCCATACATGGCCACTTGAAAAAATTCAAAAATACCAGTATTTCGTCGAAGATTTTAGTTTAATATGGTTTGATATAGGAAAATATAGACAACCAACATGTATGGCATTGCTTCGTTTACACTTGGCCTTGATTGAACATTTTTTTTACTTATATCCATCCGTATATACCCATGAACGATAAATTAATCTGTGCTGAACGGTAGACGAATCTAACTAAAATGCATTCCTGAATTGCATTGACGCACGAAAATCGAATAATTTAACTTAATTTCAGCTTCTATTTTATTCAGTTTTAAAATTCATTTTTAGGAATTGATACAAGGTTTCTCACGCAAGGTCCAAAGCAAATCGGAATGCAGATTTGTATGGTAAAGTCTTATAAAGAATCTATCTTATTTGATTTGAGTTTGTCATACATAAACAAACAAATTGTAATTATCTATGTCTCAATCAACGACAATTGACGTCATTGCGATGAAATTGACGTCATAGTGGGCAGCTGGTATAGACCAAAAGTATCTTCCACTTTCTTTGCGCGTCAAAGTTACTTCGGCAATGTTTCACATTCTAGCGCAACGAAATGAAATATTATATAGAATTAGTTAAAAAGAACCATATATTCTACAAATTCCAAATGGCGCAATCCGGGTATGGAAAGATGTAAAGCCCAACCCCGAATACACATAGCTAAAAGCATGACATGAAAAATGTGAAATTTACTTGTTAAATTTATAGAAAAAACTTGTTAAATTTATAGAATACAAGGTAATTTCTTTTAGCTCAAATTTACGTACACATATAACGTAAAGAAGATTCTTGTCCGAATTGTTATGCTCATAGTAGCTCAGAACAAGACTCTTGACCAGCAGTCATCCAGGAATAAAGATATATTATTGATAATAATCACTAGATTACTAAGCTTTCACAAAATTGTGCTACCACGAGAAATTTCATTCGATAATATTTGAAAATCTGATTTTTGTGGCGAAAAAAAGAGATCTTATATTACTTTTTAAATCAAATAATATTTTAAGTTTTACCTTCGTTAAAATAGTTCTCATTTATCGAGTCGCTTAAACAAAGTTTGCTCTGTCCGAAGCAATCAATACCCATTCCACAATTAAATTCTCTCTTTATACTTGATTTTAATCAGAAAAACGACCGTAACTGAAGTTACACTAGCATACATAGCGCGATATTTGACTGTACTTGCTCATATTTGACAGTCAAATTCTAATCTTATTATAATTAATTGACACAGAACATGCATTTAATTTTTTACTACTTTGATAGATTGTCTAAAATTTCGCGAATAGTTTGTAAAAGCACAATTCACATGCGTGGGTGTGAATTCCATAACCACAACTTCGCAGTAATTCTAAATAAATCAAGAAAGTAATACCGAAAAAGAGGTATCGTATGGTTCCCGCAAAAACCCTTTTTAAAAGAAAATATAGTTAAATATTTGAGCATCACATACTATATAATTGTTTCAATATCCATACTGAATATTAATTTATGTGTTTGAATAAATTAACAAATTTTTTTCGACTTATTCTTAGGAGTTAAGATTTTGACGTTATGGACATTACACTGATACAGAGTTGCAGACTAAAAGTCTACGCACAATACGAAATAAGATACGCTATGACGTCATACAACAACACAGCAGGAGTCAAACGTCAGTAACCGCCTCGTCGCGCCCAGGGGACAGCAAATTGACGCATATCAAATCATAACTTTTTGTTCTGGGTTTCACTTCGCACGCTATCAGTGGCCATCGTGCTCAGCTGATCATTATGACGCACTGGGATGATTCACTTTACAGGCATGTAGTCTCGTCGACGGGTATACTTTAATAATATGAAGATCAGCTGTTTCTGAAGTAAGATATTTTACTTTATGGCAGTATTTCTCAATCCTTTCTGTTATAAAAGCTCATGAAATGCGTATATGGCACAGTGATCGCGGCCGACTGGGAACAAGCATCAGTGGGTGTGGATTTAGGCTGGACATCGTAAGCTCGGGTCATATACCAACCCAAAATTATCCTCACAAGGTTCACAACTGTCGTAATTTTATGGCAAAATTACCTTTTACGGAAAACACAAAATGCTTCGGCTTTAAATAATGGCCAAGACACTTTTTTTGAGAGTTTGCTGATAAGCGCATGAATTCTATAGAGCTAAAACTCCATGAATTTCAATAAATTGGTATGACATATTCGTGAGTTTATGATCTTAAATGATATGTTCATTGGTATCACAGACCATCCAAGCAAATCTTTATCCACATGAAATAATATTCCTGGTTTTTATGTTTATTTCAGATTCCGTGACATATTATTACCCCACTATTATATCTATAATAATTTTTAAATTTACAACATCCATCACCTATTTTATACCGACTTTATCTCTCTGTGCGATAAAATAATATTTTGATGGCAATGGATATAAATAATCCTACATCCTCAAGAATATTCACTAGCATCATCAAACGGCTTCATTTGTTACGTTTGTATTCAAAAAAACTACTAACCCCGATCAAATTTTACGCATTCGCTTATGGCAAGTCAAAAATTTCAGACATACTTTTTCATTGTGCAATTTCAAGCCATGCGTCAATACGTTATAAAATGCGTCATATGGCTAGCCAGAAGCTTCATTGCCACAGTTGTTCTCAGTGTTACACGTATCACAAATATTGTACACACCTTAGAATGATTTGTGATTTGTAACAATATCTTGTTTACAAATCTTGCCGTCTG